CTTTTTTTAAAATTTTATTTTTGTATTTTTGTTTGTTGGAAAATACTAAAAAATCTTTTTTTAAAAAAAATATTTTTTGAAGATATAAATTTTGAATAAGCATTAGTCAAATCGAACTATATGTCAATTTATTAAAAGAATATTTTTTTCTCTTTTTTTCTTTTTTTTTTCAAAATTTTATTTTTATTTGCATTATTCTACACCTAAATAAAGATTGTATTGGGATACTCCTCTCATGCTTTATTCCGGGTAATGTCTACGAAATGTTTAGCATAGTGCTACCTAGGGTTGGCACTTATGGTTTACTATATGCTTGGTTTGGATTTAATCGTGTCTAAAAGGCTCTCAAATTATTCCTCACTGTTGTCAATGCAAGATTAGTAAGGCACCCTGATCCTCATCCATTTTAGGTTTTAGACGAAAAGAGTTCAATCTGAATATGAGTATTTTACTTGTCATTATGGAGGTTATCATCTCATGAGAGCATATGTACTTTACTCTCTCATAAAAGGGTTAGAGCCCAAGTATAGAGTTCATGCATAATATGAATGTGTCTGGTATGAATGAAGGAATAGAGTATTATAATCCTTATTCTAGGTGCCTTATAATAACGTTAATAATACATACCAAAAATAACATAAATGAAAAATTACTAAAAAAATGACATGGTTGAAATGAAATGCAAAATTTTTTTGTTTGTATTCCTTTTATTATTATTATTGTTATTATTATTAGTATCATTAAAAAAAACAAAATTAAGATTAAAGAAATTAAGGTTAAATACCAATTAAGGCCATTAAACCAAAAATGAAGATAACACATTATTAACCTTTGGCTTGGCTCTTTAAAAAAATGATATCTCCAGTAGAGTCGTCAAGTTATTATAACGATTTTTTAGGTCCGTTACATGAATTTAAAAATGAAAAAGAGTCGCCACTAATTTTTTTGGCTAGGTGTAATTAGCCATCTACTAAAACTTATCATTTTAATAAAATTTAAAAGTTAATTAAAACTTTATTAGAAAGATAATTTTTTAGGTCTGCGAAAATAGTTCGAGTTCGAGAGTTGATTATGCATGAGAAAGGATTAGTACCCCCCATAATACCCTTTTAAAATTGTATCAATTAATTATGTGTTATCTTTTAATTTGACAAAAAAAATCTTAATTTTGATATTTAAAATTAATTTTCTTAAAATTTTTTATTGTAATAAAACATATTTTAATTTTATTTTTTATTTTGGTCAAAATAAATAAAAACCTTGTTTATTGAAATATTCGCGAAAATATTACAATAGTTTGGCAATATCAAAAGGAATTTTCTCACTTAAGAAATTTTTAAAAATTATTATTCGAAATTCTTAAAAATTTTGTTTTCTATAGTTCATATTTATCTTTAATATTTTATTTATAATGTATGTAATAAAATATGATAACTATAATTTAATCCTAATAATATTTAAAAAAATTCATTTCTTATTCTATTTATTAAAATAAACGAGAAATCTTTATCGAAAATTTTTCTAAATGCTTCAGTACATTGATTGTATTTTAAATAAATTTTCTTACTTAGAGATTCCTAAAGAATCACTACTCGAAATTATTTAGAATCTCATCCTTAGAGGTTTCATTTACTTTTATAATCGGTATATAAAAAAATAATGCATATGGATTAATTCGCGATGCTATAGAATGAAAGTTCATTTTTAAAAATGAAAAATAAACGAAAATTTTTTTATATTGAGAGTCATTCTAAATATTTTAATTCTTTAGTAATATTTTTTTAAAAAAATTTTTCACCTAAAGAATTATCAAGAATCACTATTTGGACTTCTTAGAGTCTTATTATCGAAAATTTTCATTTAATTCATCTTTTATTTATTTTTAAAAATTTTTCTTATTATTATTTTATAATTTTTTAATTAAAAATAAATTTAAAAAATATTTTTTATTGAATATATTTCTAAATACTCAAATACTTTTGTAGCATTTTAGAAAAAATATCATCACCTAAAGATTTTTAAAGAATTATTATTCAAAATTCTTTAATATTTCATCATCGAAAATATTTTCATTTATTTACTAATATTTGACAATAAAATTTTACACTAATATAATTTCCCATAAATAAATTTATTTCTTAAAAATATATATTTTTCATTTGTTCATGTATACACTTTTTAGATACTAACTCATATTAATAAACATTGAAATAAATAAATATAGACATAACCCAAAAGAAAACATATCCAATTTAAACCTTTGAATCTAGGCCCAAAACAACTTGATCATTGGACTCCATATCAACAGCCTAAAATAGGCCCACCCAAGTTGGGCTCTCCTTAGGTCGCGGGTTGGGTCACCAGTTTGGGTTAGGAAAAGGGAATTCGAGTCGGTGTTTCATTCCTGGGTTGGATTGGGTCACCTAGGTCACGGGTCTGACCCTTTTTTTCTTCTTTTTTTTTTTGAAAGCTATAAAATACTTGTTTTTTTTTTTTTTCTAATTCATTTCTGCTTTTTCATAAAATAATTTTTTTTTCTTTTCTCTTTCAGGAAAATCAAACCTAGTTCCTAGCTTCAGCTGCCGCGCTGCCACCTACTCCTTCGTCGGTGGTATATTATATATATAGCTATATATATACCTATATAAGTATATATAAATAGTATAATATAGGTACATATATAGATATATATATATATAGAGGTATATATAGGTATAGATATACCTATATATATATATATTACTAAATTATGACTAATTTAATTTGTGTGGTGTTTAAAAGCCTTTTATCTAACCAGAATTTGACCAAAAAAATTTCCTTCAGATTTGACAAAGTTTAATGGTTTGGTTGAGTTGTAAGCTTCAAACTGCATTTTTTTTTAGTAAATTTTTTTAAAATCTTGGATTGTATAGGTACCATGTTATAGGTGTATTTGCTAATACCCTTATGCTTGAATATGTTTGCCTGCATGCATATGAGTTAATCATATCATGTAAAAGAATATGCTTTAATGGTGTAATATGACAATATTTTTATATTTCAATGATATTGTTATCTACTCTCTAATTTTGTTTATTGTACAAATTGATTGTTTACTATAAATTACTTTAAAAAAATTATAAATAAAATTGTGAATATAAATTCTCACAGTCTATAAATTACCTATATATATTTATAAAAATCTAATTTTGATTTTTTTAATTAATTTTTTTTATAGAATTATGTGCATAATTTGATCCAAAGAGGGAAAGTATGCATTATTGGTTAGTTATTTAGAAGTCAGAAATCATAACTTTGAATTGAGTTGAATTTGTGTTTATTAATTTTTTGGCATTTTTAAAATCTGATTTTGTATGATTTTTTGTTAGGATTGATGTCATAATTTGAATTAATGACTTTATTTTATATGCTTCTATTTTTAAAATTAAATAATTAAATAAGTCTTTCAACCGTTTTATCTTAATTTAAATAAAATAAAATTTATTTCAAAATTCACACTCTTCAAATATTATTTATAACATTTAAAATTTAAATATCTTTTATATTAAATTCCTATATATGTTCATTTCCAATCTTCTTTCTTATTAATGCACCTAGTCAATTAATAATTTAATTTTAAAAATATTTGACATTTTAAAAATTATTCTTATTAAAAATTTTTAACCGTTTATGTTAATTTAAATCAAATAAAATTTATTTTAAAATCCATTTTTTTAAATTTATTATAAAAATTATAATAAAAAATATTCTGTGCTTTGCACGGATTAAAAAACCTTGTGATCAATAAAATAGATAGTCATACGAAATTCAAGCTACTAATACTATATAACTATTCGATATTTTTCTTAGCAAAACCTAGAAAAAAAATATAAAAATAAAACATTAAATTATAAAAGCTGAATTAGTTGCAACCAGGTTGGTTGCTTTGGGAAGAACGATGACGATTGTTACGAGTTTGCGACGACAAGAAGGAACAAAAATTCAACCGTCATAACAGTTTTTGTTGGCGATGATAATGATATTGTCAAATTTTTATTAATGAAAAATTTCTATGCAATACATTGAGACATTAAGTAAATAATTTTTTTTTATTGAGAACATAATTTATATAGCAATTTCTTTTATAATCAATCTAAATTCTTTAAATCTTTTCTTCCTTTACATTGTCGTAAATAAAAATGACGATTGAAAATTGAAAATACAGTTTAACTAGCTAGTGTCTTCGTGTTGCTGCTGTTTAACAATAAAAATAATTAAAAATATTAAAACAAATTTTTATATACTGTTTCATTAACTTGTGAAATATTAAATTTTTTAAAAATAAATATAAAAATTTATCATGAACAATAAAAAAAATTAAAATGGATCGAGAAATTTACAACATAAATCAATAAATTCATAATCAAATTCTTTCCATATTTTTTGAATTTGTAAATTAAGTCTTTTAATTAATGGGTTCTAAAAAAATTATAAATGAGTGAGTATATTTATTAATAAATAAAAAAATTTTAAATAAAAATAATTAAAAATATACTTATAAATTGATGAATGATTTTTTAGAGAAATAAAATTTGGATGAAAATTGAAAAATAAAAAATGAGTAATTTTTTTAAAAGTTTTTTTTTTTTTATAAAGACTTGAAAAATCAATAACATTAAATAGTTGATAGAAAAATATTTAGATAAGAAAGAGAAACAAATTTCATTATTTTTGGGTTTAATGAATTAAACTTTTCATTTCCTTTTCATTCAATGAATGGATTAATTGTGATAATAAGATAAAAAAAATTGATAATTATTAGAATTAAATATTTGTTATTTTGAACATTTTCTTGAACAATTTTAGAGTTTTAATTTACAAATTAAAAGGTCAAATTAATTTGTAGAATTATCCAATCAAATAAATAACAATTTTTTTAAAACAATAAAAAAATAATTTATTTATGAAGTTCACGTGTGTCGTCTTTTTAAAAATTGTAACTTCAAATAAAATTATATTAAATAATTAAAAAAAAAAAAAGGAAAGAAAATACAGCAAGAGCAGGAGCAGGTGGGTGACCAACCTTAAATATGAGCATGGTATAACCAGTCTTCAGTTTGATCTAAACTCGTAACACTGCGAACTCTCCGCCTTTGCTGCTGCTCTCTCCATCTCTCAACCAATGGCAGTTGCCGCCAACTCGCTTGTGTCTTTCACTCACGGCTCTCTGAGTCAACCCAGAAGACTCTCCCAAACTCTTCCTTCCCCATCTCTTTCTTTGCCAGGATCTCGTTCACTCTCTCTAAAACTCACCCACCGGTCCAACTCAGCCCTTCATTGCTCTTTAAATGGACCCGACAGCACAGATAAGAGCACACCAATTGAAAAAAGTAAACTTTTTTTTCCCTTTTTTCACTTTTTTGAAATCTTTATGTTCTAATGAAATCTGGTTTGTTTATTTTTTCTTGATTGTTTCAGGGTACCCAGCTTTTCCTACTGTGATTGACATAAATCAGATAAGAGAGATTTTACCACACAGGTGAACTAAACTCTCTAGTTTTAGTTTATTATTTTTTTTGCTTTTCTTTTGCTTGTTTCTGTTATATGTTTATTGGGTTTTTTTTGGTTTTTTTTGTTTTTTTGGTTGAAGGTTTCCATTTTTATTAGTGGATAGAGTGATAGAATATAACCCAGGGGTATCAGCTGTTGGTATAAAGAATGTGACTATAAATGATAACTTTTTTCCTGGCCACTTCCCTGAGAGGCCTATAATGCCTGGTGTTCTCATGGTTGAGGTAAATGAATTTCCTTTCACTTATCTTTTTCTATTTTAATGATTGGCAATTTAATCATTTTGTTTATCATTTAAATTCTGCTAATTTTGATTTTATGGATGTTTTATTGCAAGCATAGTTTCTTTATCGAGGATGTCAAATGTAGGATTATATCAGTATGTATGAAATTATGTGGTTTTATCCGATGACTTTTTGGTTATCAATCTAATTAAAGGAGGTGTAGGGCTGCTACTGCTTCGTGATTACCTAAATTGTGGGAAATAGAAACCCTCTTAGAAAAGCGAAAGTATAATTGTTGAGATGGTCTGGTAGTAATATGGTGAAGAATAATAAATATTTCCGGCACTCTAAGCTGGAGGTTGAACTAGATATCTTGCAGAAGTTTACCTCAATTATGGAACCAGGACATCTGAGTTAGAAGAAAATTATGGTTATCATGAGAAATTAAGTTTTGTTATTTGTTTTGTTCTGACCCTAGTTCAGCAGTTCATGTAGCACATGCCAACTAGTTTAGGATTAAGGCTTAGCATGGTCTGAGTAGCCTGAATAAGAAGTGACAAAGTTTCTGGATTTTTAAATTAACAACAAATGCTTAGCCAAGGTGACAAAGCTGGAGTTATCCAGTGACCTGATCGATATGGACTCCTTAGCCAAGGTGAACTCCAAGTGAGACATTGTGGCGATGTCTCTCTTTCGAATGGGGCTAGACGGGAGATTGTTGGACACTTGACTTAGCCTATGTGGGTCCAACCCCATGGACATAAATTGGTTCAAGTGATAAGCCCTTTGTGTTTGTTTCTTCTAGTGGCCATGATTGTGTTACATAGCAAGATCTAATGATCAAGGTGGAAGGCATGTAAAGATTTCTTGCTTTTCCATTCAATAGTCTGATATCTTACATTCTTTATTTTTCTCATTACTGCATGCAATATCTGTTGATTTATCTTTTTCGGTTGATTTGATTATCTTGAATTAATTGTTCTGTGATTATTATTGGCTAGAGTTTTGTTGTCTGTTATTTGTGGGTATTTTGTTGTTTTATTGCCTGGGGTCCAACAACTTGAAAGCCATTATCAATTTATCACACACTAACTCAATGTTTCCTTCACATCCATCTTCAACAAAAATTTGTACATGTTCTATTGCCTATTTTTGTTTAATCTTCTAAACATAGTTGGTTTTGTCCTACATTGACCATTAAAAATATAGCCAACAAAAGAATAAAGTACTCTTTAAGTCATGTCTGCTGTTATGTCCCTTTCCTTATTAAAACAAAAAACTATGCGTAGGCACCAAAGTTGTGTGCTTGATCAAAGTTGCCTCAACTGAAAGGCGTGAAACACTTTAGTTGATTAGCCTTTTGCATTAATGCCTAGGTACATGCCTTGGAAACACTGGTTATTACCCATAAGGCCTGATCCTAGGTTTTGTCTTATGATGCTGAATTGCATTTTCTCTCCAAGTTTTGGCTTAAATCCTTCTTATATCCCATTTTCCATATCTTTTTTTTCAACCCTGTACTCTGCTATCTTATTCCACCTAAAATTGAAATTATGTTCTTACTTGTACAAGATGCAGTCATACTCTCATTGCTAGTTTGGCAAGTTTTGCCAGTTCAACTCTTTCATCTGTAGTTATTAGCAGCACATCATACTTAAAATTATCGATTTCATCCTTTATTAGTTGGTTGCAGTCTTGCAGAATTCCTTCCCCTAATTGCTACTTTACACATGCTTTTAGACGTTAAGGATCCATATGTCATTTCCTTAGTATTTAATATACTCAATGAACATAGGCTTGACTAGATAGATTTGTCACAGAATCAGCTGCCAAGTCTTTTTCACCCCTAAGTTTCCATTGCTTTTTCTTTTGGCCAATCCTAAGTTGTTATTGTTAGCTGACATGGATTTTTGTAAAATATGTTACCAAGAATATTATTCTGTTAATATATTTTGATTCCTTTGTTATTCAATACATAATTTTTATGTTGAAAACTAAGGTTAATTTAATTCAGCTCTTTCTTCCACATGTTTACAAAGATGTGGCAAGATTTTATGCTGTTTGAGATCTTTCTTTACCATCACGTTTCTTCATGTAAACTTCTCACTCTTCTATCTTCTATGTGTCATTTGCATTTGCAACCTTTGATCATCCTATGATGGTTTGTCTCTGAAAACACCAAGTTTTTTTGCAGTCTTTGCACAAAAATCCCAAGATAACCCCTAGTTGCTGTATTTTTTTTTCCTATTATAAGATAGACCATGCTGCTGGCACATTTTATATGTTATATTGGAGCTGGACATCTGGTTTTTCTGTTTTTAAAACTAGTTGACTGTTCGATTCAGCAAACAAGCAAATTTTATACTTTTGGCACCTGGTAATTGGATTTTTCTTTCTTTTGGATAAATGGTAATTGGAGTAAGACTGACCAAGTTGTGACACATTTGAGTATTTGCACTGTTCTATTCCATCTGTGCATGGTAGCTAGTCCTTTTACTTGAATGATAATGCGAAGGAACTAAGAATAATATTTTTCATTACTTGCTGATTGCCTTTTCTACATTCACTTAGTTCCTGATTTGTTAGGGTGTTATAGTATAATCTCATTTCAGGAGATTTATGCTTTATACAGTTCAAGAATATTTATTTCCAAACTAACATTAAATTGGCTTGATTTGACGGGTCTGTTACTTTGCCCCTTTGTTTTAGTCTAGGTTTGTGATATGATCTTTAACCAATGCTGGATATCTTCTTTCATTCTTCTGTTTATCATGTAAAATTTGCTGTTCTATATTTGTAAGGCAAAGTTTTCATCATTATCTAAGCCTCTAAGCCTCCTTTGCCAGTGCTACTTATTTTCATCAAGTCATCTTTATAGGTGCTTAAGGTACGCTTTACCTTATAGCATTCTTTATTCTGAATAATATTTGTATATGAAGGGAAAAAATGATTGCAATTAGAGAAACTACTTGGAGTATGGACAAACATGCTGATAGAGATGATTTTGATGCCTTCTATTATTATTGGCTGATTCCATGATCCAAATGATACTGGGATGTCAATCCAATAGAGTAGAAAATAGATGAATGCTTTAGTGGCACTCATCATCTGTGATTCAGTAGACCTTGAACTTCATTTCTTCTCGGTTTTCTTCTTTCTATGTCCATCTCATGTTTTGGTGGCCTAAAGGTAGGCCGGTTGATGTTGCCATAAGGATGCGCCCTAGGCCTTCGTTACCAAAACACTGTCATCTCTTGCTGCAAGAGGTACCAATCGAAGCAAATTGCTAAAAAGTGTTTGGTATTTAGATCATCAATTTCCTAAATACTACACTGATCATTGCATCTTTACTATTAGTAGGTACTAATAGAAGTATTTGCTTGGTCCAGGCAATGGCACAAGTTGGAGGTGTGGTTATGCTGCAACCTGAAGTGGGAGGTTCTCGGGAAAATTTCTTTTTCGCTGGAGTTGACAAAGTGAGGTTTAGGAAACCAGTAATTGCAGGAGATACTTTGGTTATGAGGATGACACTTATCAAGCTGCAGAAGCGGTTTGGAATAGCAAAGATGGAAGGGAAAGCATACGTTGGAGGTGACTTGGTATGTGAGGGTGAGTTCCTGATGGCTACTGGTAGTGGTTGATAGTCTCAGTATTTTATCCTATGTTTCCTCCAATTTCCTGTGAAGTCTTGAGACACGTTGCACCTGAGGCTTTTGTACTGTATGCATCCATTGCTAGAGAAGTTTTTGTTGTTCTTTCTGACAACCTTTTAGTAAGTTATTGTGTACTTTTGCAGACAAAAAAAAAAGGTTTCTTGAAGTTTCTTCTATCAATTCATGTAGACTGAATTCAGTTAGCAAATTCCAATAAAAGGAGGTTTAATAATTAAAAGAGAACATTTGTTCCTGTGATTTGGAAGTGTAAAAGAAAAAAAAGAAAGGAAAAAATTAAGCAAGGAAAAGATATTGCAGGGACCTTTTGGATACACTTTTTGCTAGGGCTACTTGCAAAGGTCAGTTAATTTCATTATGAATGAACTCTTAGGCAGGTTGTTTCACGAGGACTAGGAACAGGTTTTACTGAATAAAAGCCTTGCTGTAATTTAAAGAGTGTAAAGCAATCAGATAAGCGGAGATGAGGGAGAAATAAATGGCTTACCCTTTTATTTATCAAAATTTGCTCCCTATGCTTTGTTTCTCTCCTGCATTGTCTCAAATTCTCCCCCAGTTTATTATAGTTTCTTGAAATTCAATGAAGTTAGCCAGCAGTTCCCTGTCAAGTATGGACCTTCTCTAGAAGGAAAATGCACTTTTAGAATCTCCAAACCAGCATTTACTAATGGAATAGTCTTCCTGTGTTTTCATTCATAAAAATTTTCTTCCAATGAACATTTTGTTAATCTTTGGAGTGCAAACCTTGTGAACAAAGCAAGATGTGTTGAAATTGAAAAGGGGTTATTATTGATGTCTGGGTGTTTTTTTTTTGGCTCCCAATAATGTGGCTGATGAGTGCATATTACCTTTAGTTTGCACACAATCTGTAGTGGGTCTCGGTGGTAGGAAAGGCTGTCCTTTATGCAGCCATCGAGGCCCCTTGTCTATCTTATGCTTTTAAGTTGGTAGGAAACATCAATTATTACACCTCTTATTTCATGGAATCACTTGCTCTACGAGCATACACTTGTTTGCATGTGTGGATTTGCCCATCTTTGCATAAGTGAAGACCCTATTGCTAAAAAATTGGTCACTAATATTTGTGTGGACAAACTTAGTGTCTTTTGAGTAAGTCAACAAAACTCGCGTGTCAGTAGAGTACCAGATTTTGGTTAAGAGTACAAATCCTGACTACCTCAAATACAAAAAGAAAAAAAAAAAAAACTTTTGAGCAAGAGAGACGCTAATTGCTTAGAAACTGGTAATATCTGCAATGGAATCAGCTCTTCTTTTGATAAAAAATACATGAGGGTTTTAAGGTTTAGGCAATGCATTATACTGCCCGTTAAGCAAATTAAGCTGATAAATCATAGTTCCATGCTTCTGTTGCTTTGAACAGTTGAAGATATGTTGATTAGAAGATCGAAAACTATCATGTAGTATATATTGTGAATCTTTTGATTAGTTCTGGTGAAAGTTATAGTATCAGATATCCAGCTTCATCATCTTGGACCCCAGAATTTGATTTTTTTTCATGTAGTTCGTAATGGAAGAAAGCCATATAGGTTTTAGGAAGAAACTTGAGCATAAACTCTTCAGGGATAAAAATTTGCTGGAAAAAAGGTTTTACCACTCATTTCTCTGATGCAGTCTAGCAAGAATAGTTTTACCTCCTGTATTCTTTAGATCCTCAATGCTTTTTTAAAACCCATATTACTGTTTTGCCTTCATTTTTATTCAACCGTGAAAGAAAGATGGGACAATACAAACATTTTTTTCCCATAATTTTTGCTTTGTCATCCCAAATTTTCACCTACATGCTGAATTACTGGACAATTTTTGTTCCACTTCCTTGTTAACAACTAGTACCAAACAAAGTTGATTTCCAGATACAGAAACTCCTGAAGGTAGAAGTTCTCCTGCAAAAGAAAATTAGATTAAAATAAACCAGATTAATGAATTAGCAATGAATGAAGGCAATGAAATTACAAAAGTTAATCATTTTAAAATTATTAAGTTGATAAAGTTACTAGCAGCTAGGAACGTAAAAGGATCGAAAAGTGAATAGCGAGATGAATTTTTTTTTTTTCGCTAATTTGGTTTACAAAAGGAAATAAAATATTTTAAATTATGGCATTGATAATTTTTGTTGTAAAAAAAATTAAATTATTAAATAGCAATTATTGTATTGATAAATTGTTATCACATATAAAATTTCCTGATTTTATATCCTTAAAGCCTTATGCAGCTGCCACGAAGTCAGGAATGATTGGATAGGACACCAAACATAATTGGCAGATCAAAACAAATACTTTTTCTTTTCATTTTTTTTGTCTTGTTCCACACTATGAACTAGATTGATCGAAACTTCGAATAGAGCTTTCAAGACCGACAGCTTATATTTATATTCTATTTTTATTATAATGAAATATAACTTATAATTTGTATATTAAAGAAAAAAAATAGCATCCAAGCAATCTCACTTTGATCGGCCAAATTAATCATGTAGGGCAATTTTAAAATTTTTTTAAAGAAAAAAATCTCTATCATTGAAATGTTTTATTAATTATCAAGAATAATACTAATGGAAAATCGAAAGCTCTCAATTGGATTCCAGGACTCCTCAGTGATCGTTGGTGAGAATGGGACGGCTACAGTTCTGGAACTTCCCCAACTGGCAAAGTCTGTTGCTCCATTCCCCCAATAAATTAATAATATGGATTTTCTTTTATTTGAAGAATTAAAATTGATAGGTGATAACATTCAATTTTTAATTTTAATCATTTTCCAAACAAGGTCTAAAATTGATCTTGCTGCACAAATATGGCACTAAACGAGAAAAAAAAAATGAGATTTCAATAAAAAACTTTTCGGCCATATCATTTCAAATGAACAAGTTTAAATAAATTTTTTTTTTATCTTGTGATAATAGTGTATGATGGCTTTAGCAATTTTTATATAAAAAAGTTGTATTTTAAAAATAAAAAAATTATAAATATTAAAATCTGAAATTTAAATTTATTTTTTATAAATTAAAATTAAAATTCATATTTGTAGCAATTAAAAAAAAAATCAGATTCGTTTTATCCTTGAATTATTATGAATTGGGGAAAATAAATGACTGTTTGAGAACGATTGGCTTAGCCAGAAACCAAGGAAGTGAATTGATGAAATAGGTGTGAGGCATGTTTTTAATTTGCGAGCGGAACTTAATTTCCTTATATCAAATGTACAAGTGCGCCCTAACAGTTTGGAAAACAAGAAATAAACAACAGATCAAAAGCATGAATAAATGCCAAAACATTAGCAAAAGTGAAAAGATCATCTTGTTCTCAAAATTAAATTTTTAATGTGTCTTAGAATAATTCTAAGGTTGTTAATATCATATCAAATAATGTTTTAATTTTTTTTTTAAATATGATATATACCAATATCAGTTATTTTTAATTTTTTGATTCCGTACAAACATGTTTATAAATGTATATGAACTTGTACATTATAATATTATTAATAATTTACAAAATAAATATGAAATATATTAAAAAATCAAATAAATAAGTTTAAAAGAATAAGAAATGGTATCATAAATTTTCATAATATTTTTAAACACTTAATCTGATCATGTGATATTTAAATAAGTTTTGTTTTTTGTATAAATATTAAGATGAAAAAAAGAGATGAAAAAAACTAATCAAGGTTTTATGATTGTTAAATTTTACAAAAGGAATATAATTGTTTTCTTGAAAAAAAAATTGAAATACTTATAAACTTTTGTTTGAAAAAATAAAGTATAAAAAATTTAAAATAAAAAATAAATAAACTCAACTTTTAAATGTTATTTTATCAATTATTTTTATTTTTATTTGGTTAAAAATAATTAAATAACAAAAAATAAATTAAAAATTACAAAATATATTTTACATTCACGTATCAACTGAAACATGATATTTCACCAAAATTTAACGAAACAAGCCAAAATTAATAAAAACAATTAGTATTACCTAATATTAAATTCGATATAAAAAATCATCTTTAAATATATCATATTTTAAAATAAGTGAAACGTATGATCAGTAAGATTGGTACCAAAATAAATTAAACTATGTTAGATTCACCCCACCCCCTAATTATTTTATCTTTTCAAATACATCTTTTTTAATTCACCCCTTTTTTTCCTTGCTAGAGGCGTGCATGTTCAATTACTATCATTAACGTTCCATTATTGTATCACTTCATAATAGAATTAATTAATTTTTAATTTATCTAAAATCATTAAATATAACACATAATAATTAAATATAACCCATACTCATTCTAATGGTCTTTTCTCTTGTTTCACATATATTTTTCATTAATTGTCAATAACTCGGATCATATCACTATCTATCGTCACATAAGATAAAAAAATGTATAAATATAAGATTCTGAAACTTTCTTTCTTAAGCTTCTTACACACTTTTTGCATCTTACTTTTTTCCTCCAACAGTGAAGCTAACGATGACACTGGCAACTAGAGCATTGGCCGAAACCAGTCTTTAGAGAGAGGCTCTAGGCTAAAGAAAGGGGGAACGCAGAAGAAATAAGAACAAAAAGAAATTAAAAAAAAAAAAGAAATTGGGTCAAATCATACTTGTATACTACAACTTGACCCAATCCATAATCTTGCCAAGCCAAATTCTTGTTGAGCCTAATAGTGTGTGTTGCATTATGGCTTATGTCTTTGGCTTCAATTTACTGAGTATAATTTTCTTTTCTTTTAAAATTTATTATTATTATTATTATTATTATTATTATTATTATTATTATTATTATCGTCGTCATGTGTAGCCTTTTTTTCATGAACATATATTTACATGTCAAAATATAAGAAAAATACATGTTTTAAAGATGAAATAATTTTTGGTGAAAATTTGAATGTTTATGGTTGCAATTATAGTGTTTATTTGCAAGTAAAGAAATTATTATTATTTTGAAAAGACGTAGATGTGATGATATTTTTAAGTAAAACATAATTTTTGAGATTTTGACTAAATATTAGAAAAAATCCAAATAATATTTTTATTAAAGAATGTCATTTTCATTTTTAATTAAAAATAAATTACGAGAATTTCTTAAATAAAGATTAAATTTTTTAGAAATTTAGCTTAAATATTGTGGAATCAAAGAGATTTTTCCAACAAAAAAATAAATAATTTTTTAACATTAAATATTTTTTTAATAGAAAGAGATAAAATTAAAGATTCATAAGATGAATTAAATTTGTCATTTATATCCTTTAATTTGTATTTGCATTATTTATTTGCTTTATGTTACATTACTTGTATTTTTTATTGTTAAAAGAAATATAAAGTAATAAATGATAACTTTGAAATTTTATTTTTTTAGAAATAAAAATTAGTATTTTTAAGAAACTAATTCTTGAGACCTTATCTAAATATTGAAAGATTTATCCATAATTATTCTTTATAAAAGAATATAATGTCAAATTTTAAGAGTTATTATGAGAATTTCAAGTGAAAAAATCTTTTTCAAAATTCCCCCTAAATATGAGAAAATTTGAAAATTTTTTGAAATTAAAGATTTTTATTTTTTCCCAAACAAAATGATTCAAAAAATAACAAAAAGAATTTTACAAAAATAAATAACATTGAGGAATTATTTTAAATATTAAAATTAAGATATATTTTTTTAAAATTTTAAAAAATAACATATAATTAATTAATATAGTTTTTAAAATGAAAATTGTGATATACTAATTTTTTTCACACTCATACTCATATATATATGAACCTGACATTGTTTTTTGTAAATAAAAAATTATCTTTTTAATAAATTTTAATTAATTTTAAAATTTTATTAAAAAATAAAATTTTTAGATAACTAATTACCTTTAACCAAAAAAAAAAATAATAATAATGATTCCTTTTCTTTAAAAAATTTTGTCAAGCTATACAAAAACACTTATGACACGGAGTGAACAATGATTAACATTTGACATGGCAAATGAATGATGCTTAAGTATGATACCTGACAAGACAAATGAATGACACTTACATGGCAGTGTCTGTGTGGCACAACATTAGAAATAGGGATGAAAATATATATAAACTAGACAATATCTCAAGTGTTATTGCGGTTTTTAATTTTTTTTATTTTCCATACTATTACTTTCGTGGACTTTTGTC